GGGAAGCTCCTATTTGTATAATAATAAAAATTTAAAAAGGATATAAGAGGAATAAATCTAATGAGAAATGTGCTGGAACTTCATTTAAAAGACAAAACGAAAAAGCTTTAATATGTACCCAAGCGAGCAAGGAACAGCTTCACAAGCGAATGCTCCCAGGTGCTCCCCACGCCAGGCACCACTTTCGGTGCTCTGCTGCCCTAGCTGCACTCTGCAGACAACCCGAGGAAGCACGTACCATAGCACTGTCTGCTGAACAAACAGCGACATACCCTACTTTGTAAAGAAAGACTCGACATCACAAACATGCCAGTTCTCTTTAACATGTTCCAACACAAAACCACCAACAAGGATTTCTGGCTAAAGAAGAGAACACAGCATTCTCTCCTATGACCCAAACTCCAGAAATAGCGCGAGAGACAAGAGACAATCAAAGCACTCTGAGAGGTGGAAAGAAAAAGACGGACTTGTGAGGGACGCTGGGACACAGGAATGACACAGTAGAGCAGGGTGTCTCACTAGACGCCACCCAACGGAAAGGTGACCCAGGCCCAGGGTTTCCAACCCCCAATCTAGCAGCACACGGCAACCAGGCAAGGTCACTCTTGCCCCACACTGAAGGAGGTAAACCTGCAGCAGCCCCGGCAGGGGGACAGGGAGGCTCACTGGCAACAATGGCCCAGAGGGCTCTCTTTCCCCGAGGGTCTGGGCCAACCACCCCTTTTTATCGAAAACATCAGGGTGGCTGAAGGTTACTGGCAAGGGCAATTCTGCCTGATCTGACGCTCTCCTCCCGCACCCAAAACTAACGTGCAGCCAGGCAAGCCCCGCAAAGGATACCCCCCCCACAATAAGCAACTCCCCACACACAGGCCAAAACAGCCTCCCCCAGCCCAGTCGCAGCAGGTGGCCGGCCTGGGGCAGCACGCCTATTCCCTCAAGTGCGCGCCAGGAGAGACCAGGCGGAGTCCCAGAGGCACCAGACAAACCAAGCAGACCAAAATAGCACCATGAAGGCTCTGAAACTAAATTGTCATTGGAACCACAGCCCACAAAGTGGACCAGCACCACTAACCCTAAACAGGAGTACTGCGTGTGAAAATAAAAATGCTACATGGGGCCCAGTCTCCTAACATAACAACCACATATGTAGGACACAAGAGAATATAATCTGTCATTACATGAACCAAGAATATTATAATTTTAATGTGACAAGACAACTGAAGACACGTACACTGAAATGGATCGGACGTTGGAACTTTCTGACTTGTATCTTAAAGCAGCCATTATTAAAATGCTTCAACAAATTATTAAAAGCCTTACTAAAAGCCACTACAAATCCTATGGCAACAAACAAAAAAACTGAAAATTTCAGCAAAGAAACTGAACAAGAATCAAATGGAAATTAGAGAATTGAAAATACAGTAACAGAAATTAAAAACTTTCTGGATGGGCTCAACAGTAAAAGTGGAGATGACAGAGGAGATAAATGGAGAAACTGAGGCCCAATCAACAGAATTCACCCTGACTAAACAACAGAGAGAAAATAGCTGGAAACAAATGAACAGAGCCTCACAGACACACGGGACAATGACAAAGGGCCCAATGTTTATGCCAAGACCCAAAGGAGACAAGGGCTGAAAGAGTGCACAAAAAAATAATGACTGAAGTCTCCCAAATTTAGTAAATATAGAAACTTACAGATTTGAGAAGCCGAGCAGACCTCGAAGTGAACCCAAAGAAGTCCACACCAATTCAAGTTTTGAACACTGAAAACAAAGGCAAAATCTAGAAAGCAGCCAGAATGAAAGGCAGAATACCTGTGGGGGCACACACATTCAAATGACAGTATGTTTCTCCTCTGAAACCATGGAACTCAGAGGAGGTAGCCCAACATTTTTCAAGTGTTTAAAGAAAAGAACGGTCAGCTGCGAATTCTATACCTAGCAAAACTAACCATTGGAAATGAAGAAGGAAATACATTCTCAGAAGAATGAAAAAAACTATAGGAATTTGTCACTAGCAGACCAATCCTTGTAAAATGGCTACATAAAGTTATTAAGCAGAAAGGAAATTATAAAAGGACGAATATGGGACCATGCAGAGAGAGTAGAAACAGCAGAAAGGCCAGACATATGGATATATACAATTGACTATCCTTCTCCTTGTGAGTTTTTAAAATTACATTTGACGACTAAAACACTATACAAGCATCGAATACTCAAGCCAACAATATTTAAAAGTGGGGAAGGTAAAGGGACTAAATGGAAGGCAGGTTTCCACATTTCAAAGGGGTAAAATGTTTGTACTAGTAGACTGTTATATTACAACGTGCACATTGTAACACCCAGAGCAACCACTACAAAACTACACAGAGACACACTCAAAGACACTATAAATAAATCAAGGTGCAACGAAAGGGAACCAGAGGAAACAAAACAAATCATAAAATATCAGACTTAAGCAATTATGTATCAACAAGCACCTTAAATGTAAACAACATAAACACACCAAAAGACAGACTGATGGAGAGGATATAAACACACGGCCCAACTAGACACTGTTTACAAGACACTCACTTCAAACATAAGAACCTAAATAGGCTGAAAGGATGAAGACATACCATGCAAACAATTTGTTAAAAAGGCAGGAGTGGCTATATTAATATCTCATGAAGTAGACTTGAGAGGAAAAAAAATTACTAAAGTGAGAGAGGGTCTTTGCTCAATTTTAAGATCTAAAATTGCATGTGCTGGCTTGATAGCTTGGAGCCTCACCGAGTGCCAAAGGCTTAGCCGTGAGCTGCCCTGCTCCTGTGAGAAAGGTCCGGCACCCCCAGCAGGAAGGCCTCCCCACCCCGCTAGTTCTTTTCTTCACCCCTCTGCCAGCTTGTTATTCAAAAAGCCAATCACATCTTCCTGAGGGAACCAATGGTCATCCTATGTCCTTGTTGCTACAAAGCTCCCCTCCCACAGCCCCCAGCTGTTCACTCTGCTCCTGAGTGCAACGCCCTCGTGGCCCCTCTTGGTGTGCGGTGTCATCCTCCCCTGAGCTGTGAGGATATGTGACTAAAATCTGCTGTCAATTTCATCTGTCCAGGTCAGGTGTCATGTGTTTGGCCATCTCGTACTATTCAGGGATACAAGATCAGGATACAAGATACAGGATACAAGATCAATATACAAAAATCAATTGTATTTCTATATATTAGCAACACACAAATACAAATTGATAATATTATTTAAATAACATTAATAATATACTTTGGGATACGTTTGTTTAGAGTTGTACAAGACTGTATTCCGAAAACACTGAGAGATATTAAAGAACAAAATAAATGAATAGATATTATGTTCATGGATCAAAAAACTCAATACTGTTAAGATGTCAGTTTTCCCAAATTGTTTTACAAGTTCCATGAAAAACCAATCTAAATTGCAGTGAGTATTTTGTGTAGGAAATAACAAGCTGATCTTAAAATTTATATGAAAATGCAGAGAACCTGGAATAGCCAAAACAACTTTGAAAAGAAGAGTAAGTTTGAAAACTTAAACTATGTAATTTCAAGACTAATTATAAAGCTATAAGCAACTGAGACACTGCAGTATTGGTATAAAAATAAACAAATGTATCGATGGTATAAAACAGAGAGTCCAGAAACACCCATACAAGGTCAACCAATGCAAGGCAATTCGATGGACAAAAAGACAAGTCTTTTCAACAGATGGAGCTTGGGAAAGTGGTTATTCATATGCCAAAAAAAAGGAACCTTCATCCACACCTAACACCATATAAAAAAATTAACTCAAAATGGACCACAGACCTAAATGTAAAACCTAAAATTGTAAGACTGATAGAATATATGAGAAAATCTTTGTGACCTTGTGTGAGGCAAAGATTTCTTAGATATGATATCAAAAGCACAGTCCACAAAACAAAAATTTAATAAATTGGCCTTCATCAAAATGAAAAACTTTGCTCTATAAAAAGCCTGTTAAAAACATGAAAGGATACATTCTTGGGTGACAATGAAAAAAAATATATGAAAAGATAAGCCACACACCAGGCAAAATAATTGCAAATCACATATGACATAGAACTTGTAACAAGAATATGTAAAAATTCTTAAAATTCAATAAGGAGACAAACAACCAGATTAAAATAATGGGCAAAAGATTTGAAAAGACACCATTAAAGAAGAATAGATGGCAAATTAATACATTTAAAAATGCTCAATACCATTAATCATTAAAACCACAAGATACAACTTTATACTTAAAAGATGTCTACGATTTAAAAGACTGATCATGTCAAGACTGGCAGGATGTGGAATGGAAGTGGCAAGGATGTGGGAGTCACGCGAAGTTCCAGAGGAAATAGAAAATGGTACAGCCACTCTGGAAACCAGTTTGGCAACTTCTCGCACTCTCTCTCTTTTTTAATCATCCAGCCCGAAATGTCGCAGTTCGGCAATTTGTTAAAAAATGAAACACACATCTATTACATGACCCATTTAGTACACTCCATTTAGTATATCTACCCAAGAGAAATAAAAGCAGTTGTTCATATGAAGACTTGTACGAAAATATTCACAGCATCTTTACTTGAAATAGTAAAAAACTGGGAATTGTCCATCAGCAGGTGAACAGATAAATAAATTTCAGTACATCATACAATGGAATACTATTCACCAGTAAAAAGATGCAACAGCATGACGAATCTCAAAATAATTACACTGCGTAAAAGAATTTAGAAAAGAGTACATACTGCATGATCCCATTTATACAAAATTCTAGAGGGTACGACCTACTGGATAGTGACAGAAAGCAGATCAGAAGTTACCTGGTGATGGGAGAGGACAGGATGGAGGGGTTATAAGGTGGCATAAAGAAACTTAGGGGGTGACAAATGTGATCGTTATTTTGAGTGTGGTGATGACATATGCATATATCAAAGTTTATCAAATTGTATACTTTAAATAGTGCAGTTTAAAAAAAGAAACCCATCAAACTTCCTTTTGGAAATAGAAAAGATGATTCTTAAATTCCCATGGAAAAATAAGC